AACCAGAGTCCTGGCAGGAGCTTTGTTGAGCTCCCGACGGCGGCAGCTCCACCCCCCGAAGCCACTTATGACTGTTATAGTGTTCCAAGGTCATGTGATCACCTTTTGCAACCTTTTACAAGCAAAATGGGAAGACAGATTCATTTAACAACTATGGTACTAAATTATCAACTGCAATGATTCACTTAACATCTGTGGCAACAAAGGTCATAAAATAGGACAAAACTCACTTAACAAATGTCTCACTTAACAGAAATCTTGGGCTCAATTGTGACCATAAGTCAAGGACTATCTATATATCCAATCCACTTGCACAAAAATCTTTCAATCATTTGAAATAGTTCATTGCAGACTGATGGAGCATGCATGTAGTCTGTGATTTCTGTGAGCGTTCAATGTAGGTCCCATATAAAAATTATAGAAATGTTAAGACTGCTTGTTAATTGTTTATATATAGAGCAAAGGATATATAAAATTAAAACAGTAACTAGGGTTAAATGCCTGGAGAGGGACTGCAAATCATACAGTGCATTATGCCCACACATAAAAAACGAAATCTAGAAAGCTCTGTTTTGATTTCATGCTCCTTTGATCATTTTGTCAACCCACTCTTAAAAATTAGCAAGGGGAGATGTGTTGTTTGAGTTATGGTGGAAGTTTTAAAACGCTCCATAATGAAGGATCAGAGAATCATCTCCTTCCCTCTCTCCCCCTTTTAATTCTTGCTGCAATTGGCTAAGCCGGAGAGAAACTCACCGGGCACAGGCAAAAGCAGCAGCGACCATAGACTTGCACAGGGACCTGATACCTCCCGACGCCGCCCGGTTTGACTCAGAACTCGGCCCAACTTAAGTTCCCGGAGTTCCCTCACCAACGGAATGGGACCGCCCCAGATTCGGAGGCCTGAGCGGGAGGATCTAAAAAGCTTCAAGTATCCCGACCTGACCCTTTAGACGTGGACGAGCCGAGAGTCGAGCCTCGCACCAGGGACCTTTTTTTCCCCTCCGCCTGTTAGCAATTCGCTTCCCTCGCCGCCTTCCCTCACAGCCCACAACCGAGTCCCACTTTGGCGCGTGGGGCTCGAGCCACGCCAGTCACTCGCTTGGCCGCCTTCCGTCGTCACCACAACTTGTCACCTCTCCAGATCGGGGCTGGAGGACAGTAACCGGCACGCCCTGAACCCCGCTTCTTGGCTCCTCGCCGCCTCCCGCCTCTCTCCTCAGAGGGGGAAGGAAGCACAAAGGCGGGGAGAGGAGAGGGGACGCGGCGAAAAGAGCTAATTCTCCGAGTGGGGACGAGGGTTCAAAGCTGCGACCTCGCCGTGAGGAGAAAAGAAACACGCTGACGTTCCTCCCCACTCCCGCCGCTGACAAAACCGCTATTCCAGAGCCTGTTCCAGCCAACCATCCCAAAACCCAACACACACACACACACACGAGCGCTCACACAAAGAAAGACGTCCCCCCCCCCTTTTTTTTTTTTTACCCTTTTATCAGGAAAAAAAAGTTCCTTCAGAGCGCACGCCTGTTCCTCTGTCTCACTCTGGGTCAAGACGGCGCCTCTCCAGGCCCGCTGCTTCTCCCCTTTGGCGTCGCCGATCTCGGCGCGACTTGCTTTTACAGCTCCCGACAAAAGTGTGAGAAGGACAGAAGAGCTGATGGACGGAGAGACTCAGGGCACGACAGATGCCTGCCCCGCCCAGCAGAGCCGCTATTTGAGTGGCCATTAAAGAGAGCCAATAGCAATACCGCAACCCGTTACGACACCAATAGAAATTAGTTAGAGAGGTGGGAACTCCAGGGAGGCCCGCCTTTTTTTCTTTCTCTCTCTTTTTTTTGTGTGGTTTCCCAAAGTGGGTAGATCCCGCCGCTTCGTGAAGAGAGTTGCATTGTGACGCGTCGTTGGAGATAGTGCTCGAGGGGAGGGATTTTATTTGTTCTGTCAGCGTCTGATTGACAATTGGGTTCGGAGGTTAAAATAGATGAAAGTTCCATTACCCTCGTCCTGCCTCTGCGAATCAGGGCATGCTGGGGCGAAACCCATCGTTACCTCTCCGTGGCCTCAAGTTTTGCGATTAGCCTGGTTCCCTATTACTGTATTACATTCCGCTAGTTACTATAGGTTTAATTCCAAAGTCGTTTTGGCATCTTGAAAACAAAAATAACAATTGTATACCGAAAGGTTTGAAAGTGCAGCGTGCACTTCGAAATAAATGCTACTTTGTATTTAATGGGAAATATTCCAAGATAATAAGTATTTCAGATTCTTAAATATGTGTAAAACTTTACTAACTAAAACAATAATTAGAGCTATTAGAAATGAGTTTTAATCTTCCAAAGATACTGTTTTTGAGGCAGGAACTGATAACTTCTACTTGTCCAGGTGGATTTAAATTTCTGTTAGAAAATCATTGCCCAATGGACTAATTCCATTCAGTATTGCTATTAAAAGTACTACTCAGGAGTTGGGTAAACTGTAATCTGAACAATATTAGGTTAAGGAAGTCTGGCTTACATGCTTTTAAAGTTTCAGAGCTACAGTTCTCTTCAATACATTTGTTTTGCTTTTTGTTTTCCTTTTCAGCAGTCTGGGCTTTGAGATAAACTGTGGAATATCCTTAGTATAAATTAGAACCTTAGAGCAGTGGTCCCCAACCCCCGGTCCGCGGACCGGTGCCGGGCCGTGGAGTACCTGGCACCGGGCCGCGGAAGCGGGGTGTTCGCTGTCCCAGGCGGCCCCGCTGCGGGGAAACGGAAGCCCCGAGAACAAAACAGGTGTCAACGCAGAGAACGGGAGCCTCGCAGAAACAGCCCTTCGGGCGCTTCCTCTGCAGCCGGAAGCTTCAGCGGCCAAGGCGGCTCCGCTTGAAGAGGCTCTTCAAAGCTTTTTCCGGCGCCAAGAGGAGGGCTAACCCGCCCTCCCTAGCCAGGGCTCCGGCTTCGCCACATGCGATGCTCGGCGCATCCCCCGCTGCTGCATGGCCTGCGAACCCCGGCAGCTCCGCTTTCCGGCTGCAGCGAAAGCGACAAGGCACCTGCCGAGCGGCCCCAGCCCAGTTGGCAGCGGGCATACGGTCCCAGCCCAGCCAGCCTCATCGCAGCGAGGGGCTCTTGGGGAAGCCGCCTTGCTCGCCCCCCGACCGGCTAATTTGCAGGGCGAGGCTTCCCCGGATGCAGTCCCGGCGACTTCCCTTCGGCTCGTCGGAGCTGCCCCGCGGCCAAGAAGTAGCTGGGAGGGCAGCCGCGGCTCCCCTGGGCGAGGCCTGACCGTGTCTCGGGAGGCGCCCACGCGAGCACGGCTCAGCCGGCAGCCGGGCGGGCCTCCGGAAGCGCCGGCGTTCCTCTTCAGTGGGATCGCCGAGAGGTCAAGGGCAGAGCCGCTTCCTTCCTCCCCATGGAGCCCACCGTGGGGAGGGGGCGAGGAGGGAACCGCCGCCCGTCCCGGCAGGTGGGGGCGGCGGTTCACCGGGGAGACGATCCGGAGGTAAGCATGGCTGACGACCACGCCCGCCCACCCACCTCCTTGCGGGCCACTTTGGCCTCGGCGTGCCGGAACTTGGACACCCTGAACAGGCTCATGCACCTTTCCCCGCACCTCTGAAGGACGCCGACCAATGACCGCCCTCTGGGCTAGTGCCCAGAACCGCTTCGCGGGAGCCCTGTGGGCGGAGGGGGTGGGCAGGCAGGGGCGCAGGGTCGCGAACAACGCCCCCCCACCCCTGCGCGTGCTCAGCGGGCCACGGTAAAATTATCAAAGGCTGACTGGTCCGCGGCGATAAAAAGGTTGGGGACCACTGCCTTAGAGCACTGTGTCCTAAACCAGTGTTTCTCAACCTTGGCAACTTGAAGATGTCCGGACTTCAACTCCCAGAATTCCCCAGCAGTGGTTAGACCAGTGTTTCTCAACCTTGGCAACTTGAAGATGTCCGGACTTCAACTCCCAGAATTCCCCAGCCAGCTGGCTGGGGAATTCTGGGAGTTGAAGTCCGGACATCTTCAAGTTGCAAAGGTTGAGAAACACTGCCCTAAACAGAAAGAAAAAGGGACTTTTTAGGGCCCCTTACAATTTGCACATTACACTTTGCATACCTGGTTTAACAACTCTGTACCAGCAGCATTTATTTTATGGTCCCTAAATGACCATGAAGATTGTATGGAATGGAATTCTTCAGTAATATTGCTGTTATTTATATGATCTTATGTAAATGGCCCCAGCCTCCCATTGAATTTTTGTGATTATCAAGATTTGTTCTGTGTTTATCCATATATTAGATTAGAAGACTAATTAGATAGTATTGCATTTTCTTTTTGACCAGGGTGTTGAACTAGAAGACCTCCAAAGTCCTTTCCAAGTCTGTTATTTTGTGATAACCTCCAGCATCAATTTTGTACTCTTTCTGGGTAATTTCACTGATCAGCAGGACCAATCTCCTTTCACCTAAACTTTCTCTTCTATTTGCCATGCCAGCACTTAAATCCAAGATTTTAACTCTGTCCATCTTCAACAGTTGGTTTTTTGTACTGCCTTTAGAATAAAATTGGATAGAAATCCTATAAGACATATAATTCATCTTTACTTCCTAGATTTTCAAGTTAATAGTTTAATGGTTGTATTATTTAGCAAACCTGTAGACCAGAAGGCGTGGAACAAGAGATATAACTTCTAAAGTACCTTATTGTGTCATTCATTTATAGCTGTAAGGCACAGGTGTCAAACTCACAGCATCACATTGCCATTATGTGATGTTTCATGACATTTTTCTCAATTCATGAAGCTACAGTGGGCCTGGCCTGCATGTGACACATCTGGCCTATGGGCTGCCAGTTTGACACCCCTGTAAGGTAAGAAGAACCTGAGGTATTCAAGTACACACACTGATCAGCCACCCGGATTTTTCTTGATGTCACTATAGGTTCTGACAGCTTTCTAGGGTTATGCAACATACCACTAAGTTGACTTCCTCTTGTTTAATATTCTGTCGTTAGCATCCATATAAATTTTCACCTGACAGTTCATTCCACAGACTTGGATCATCCATCTTAGCTCTGTGTACTTGAGAATATAGAAGCCCCAATATTTGGCCAGAACAAAGAAGTTGCTGATCTATTCATAGTGGTTGGTTCATCCAAAATATTGAAAATAGTATTCTGTAATTCATCTATTAGAGCTAGATATCATTTTCTTTCTTAATTTACTATTGAGAAACCTCAGGTCAAAATACAATCAGAGGAGCATATTAGGAGAAATTGCCATTAAGTAAATCAGAGGTTCTGCTGCTATACATGTTGTTAACAGTGTCTGCTGTTGCTTCCTTAATTTTCTCAATATTTTATCTGTATAATGATTTGGCAGTGCCCCAAAAGAATGAATCATTTGTACTTCTAGAGCTTTATCTGTAATCTTTGTTATTAGTTATCTCTAGTTTATTTGAACTGCTCTTGGTCAAGGCTAAATTTTCAAAGTTGTTTATAGTTGGCAGCTCATTATTCTTAGTGCTTACAGAGAGACCGTTGGCTGGTGTGGAGGAGTGAAAAGTGAATGTATTTTATCACCCACACATAATGGAAATATTTGAATATTTGAAACAGCCGGATAAGGTCTTGTTTTGAGCAGCATGCCAGGGATTGAGCGTATTTGAATGTCAGCAAAACTCTTTACATCCTCTTTCACTGCATAGTCATTTGGCTGCTTGTAAGTGTATCAGATGGAGTTGACAATAGAAAACCTGGCTTAAAGACAAAGCAACAGCTCTTTATAAGACAAAGAAACCTTTATTATCTCTATTATAGTAAATATGTAGGACAATCTGGTTTGTTGGAAGAATCCAGTTATAGTTAATCCCCTTCTCTTTTCATTGCATTGTAATAGGTGTTTGAGCTAGTGTTTAAAGTGCAGGTTGCTCTCTCTAAACATTAGTTTGTGCTTCTATAGGTGCAGTTGTCTAAAAGTTGTGTAAAAGCCTCAAGAGACTTTTTACAGAATCCACAATGCCTTGGAAAGTGGTCAGAAATAGAGATTACTATTGGTATTGCTTAGATAAAAAGTCCAAGTCACTCTTGTTCTGAGATTCTTGTAACTTCTGGGGAAAGCAAAAGTTGCTGGAGAGGCAGCAACAGCTTCAGAAGAGGACTATGTTGTAAAACTATTTTGGCAATCTTTTGAGATCAAAGAACAGACCTCAGACTTTGTTTTCAAATCCTATTCCAATGTCACTTCATGCAAAACAAATTCTATTATTATTATTATTTATTTACTAGTAGGTTATACTTGCATTCTAAATAATTGGTAGTTTTCAGTTGTTTAGGAGGCTGTCAGGAAAAGTCATTCTTGAGTTCATCTACTTCACTTCTTTTCTTCCACTCTACACAAAATGTTTAAAAGCATTCACTATTAAAAATCAATCCATGCAGCTTGCCCTGTTGTCTTCAGTCAAGATAAAGTAAAACATGAAAGACTAAAAGCAAAAGTAAGATAAAAAAAATTAAGAGCATTTAGGCAAGATTTCAAAGAGAAAAAAGAGACAGTTTGGTTAAGGTACTGGCCTAGATATTAGGAGAGTGTGATTTCTACACACCATCATCACCCTTAGGCATGAAAGCTGGCTAGGCGACTTTCAGCCAATCATTCTCCCTTAACCCAACTATCCCAAGCTGGCTAGGCGACTT